ATTCATTCATTCATTCATTCATTCATTCATTCATTCATTTATTTCATTTCATTTCATTTCATTTCATTTCATTTCATTTCATTCATTCATTCATTCATTCATTCATTCATTCATTCCTTCCTTCCTTCCTTCCTTCAATCATTCGTTCGTTTGTTCATTCGTTCATTCATTCATTCATTCATTCATTCATTCATTCATTCATTCATTCATTCATTCATTCATGTAATCATTCATTCATTCATTCATTCATTCATTCATTCATTCATTCATTCATGCATGCATTCATTCATTCATTAATTTATTTCCTTTCATTCACTCGTGCATTCATTTAGAGACTTCTTTCATCCATCAGTCCGTTCCATTCAGGTTCAACAACAGTCCAGTCCGGTCCATTACATTCCATTCATTCCGTTAGATTTCGTTCCAGTCCAGTCCATTCCACGCCATTCCGTTGCTCTCCTTTCCATTCGATTCCATGTCATTTCATTCCATTCCCTCCGTTCAAGTCGCGATTCATTTGTTCCTTCCTTTTCCTGCATTCATTCCTTGATTTCATTCACTCATTCCTTTGCTGTTTCACACCTTCGCTGACTATCTCATTCACTCATTTGTTCGATCGTTGTTTCCTCCGTTTGTTCCTTAATGTTTTCATCATTCAACTATTCATACATGCACTGATCCATGCATTCATTTATCCATCATTACATTGCATTGCTTTATGTTACGGTACGCTACGTTAAATTCTATTACATTACGTTACAGTACATTACATTGGATTACACTACACAAACTTACAATTACAAACCAAAAACAATGACAATTGCAAATATTACCTAACCTTAATTACCATACATCACCTTACCTTACATCACATTACATTGCACTACATGTCCACCTACGTTTACATCCACGTGGGATCACGCTCCACTACACTATACACTACACTACGATACACTACACTACATTACATTACACTACCTGATTTGCATTGAATTGCATCACATTACGATACGTCACATTACAAAATACATCAACACAATACAATAGAATACAACACAATACAATACAACACAACACAATACAACACAATACAAATCCATGCCATACATCACATTACAATGTGCTGCAATTACACTACACTACATGGCAGTCAGTGCAATACATTGCATTGCATGACACTCAGACGCGTATGAATTTCACATTTCATTCCGTACAGTAGATTGGACACACGTGCAAACTCTCAAACCTTGACCGAACTTCATGCGTTTGTAGGGCTGCACAGGGTGCTGGCAGTGTCGATCATCAGTCAGGAACACCTACAAACCTCTATGGACAGGCTTTCCACTACTTGAAGAATGAAAGTCAGCTGTTGTCTGCATGCGAAATCCAACGCTAGTGCTCCGCTTGCCCTCCATTGGATTCTACCCTAGCGGTCTTGGACCCCTAACTCTGTCAAACAAGAAAACGTGCCTTCACGTGAGTTTCTTTTTTGAGTTTAAACGATTCAATTCCTATTTTGTTGGACATGTTCGAAGTTGAAACATTCAAGAATTGGCTCAGCTTTATCAAACCATGTGACAGCAAGATACATTGGGGTCAGTAGCACTGGGCGATAGCCCTTAGATGTGTAGATCTCTAGGACGTAATGCGGGCGTTCAAATGCTTTGCCGTGCATCGACATCGAAGCGCCGGCCTCACGCGCATCCAAGACCTGGATTTTGACACCTGTGCGTGGGTGGCAGCAAGCCGTGCAAAAAGAAAAGAGTTTACAATCTGGCTGCGAGCCTTCATCACGGCAAAACAGCCTCATTTCAGCTGACTCGCGGATGAAAGAGCTCTTGTGGCAATCTCGAACCTGCACAACGGCCACCACAAGGGCAATGTCAGTGACATCACAAAAATGCTGTGGCCTGTCCGTCATCTGGAAGAGAGAAGGACTCAAACCCAGAAGCTGAGCGTTCGATGGTGAGCAGGATGTCCTGCATGCTCTTCGCCTCAGACGATCTAATATCGAATTGAAGGAAAGCTGCGCTCTGAGGAGCGATCCTTTCTGTTCCGGCGCACATGGATTCGAGCTTTGGTAAATCCACCTGGCCGAGTTTCAAAAATCGGTTGTCCGACAGGTGTGACAAATGTGTGATCTTGTGATCTGCCTGGTAAAGCGTAGGAATGTGGTCCAGAAAAACTGACCTGGGCTCGCACATGGCCATGGGTCAAAATCCCAAGCCCGTAGCCCCAGTGAACATCCGATTCAATCCAACCGCTAAAATAGGTTCTAAAATGGGTGGTGAATTCACCTACCCCAAAATGGGATCCCATTGGTTTTGACCCACAGCCAAAGAAGCGACTGACCAGGCCAACATTGCGCTGCGTCCAAGGAGCAGTTGCTAAATGTGCCATCGAGATTTGCGATGATAATGCTGAGACCACACCTAGGAGCAGCAAGTGGAGTTACGGCCGAGAATAAACATGTTGACTTTTTTCAAGCGCAATGGTCTGAGGAAGCGTCGGAGGGCTGGTGCGCTGCACTGCGCGCACTCTTGACCTGAGATTCTGGTGTTACAAGAATTGCGTCTATTTGGGTGTGTCTGTTTTTGAGGGTACCCCTGGTTTTGGTTTTAGAGGGACCCCAAGAAAAAAGCCACCAATTTTGGGGTGGTCCCCTAAAGAAGACACACATGTTTCTGTGCCGGGGACGGAGTTGCTCGGCAAAGCGGGCGCGTGCCTCGGATCGTCCAAACGCTGCGGAGAAAAAACCGCTCGCGCTTTGCGGCGCCTCCTCCACAGCCCCAGCAGCTTGGCCCTGCGCGAAAACCTCGTTGCCCACCTGACGACTGAAAAAATCGCCGCCTGGCTCGTTCCACTGAATCACCGCCTGGTAGGTGCAGCGGTCGAAGTCCTCATTGAAAGACTAGCATCCCCCACGTTTTTGCATTGAGACACCCTACCTTGAGACACTGCGGGTGCAAGGGATCCACGTACCCCGGATCACCAAAGGCAATGTCGTTGCACTCAGCGCTCGCCTCCTTGAAAAGTGACCGCGCCTAGTGCGGAAGAGAAGCAACAGCTCAGCATCGTGGTGCCAGGTTTTCTCAAGTTTGATGCGGGTCCCTCGCCTCGTCTTGCAGCGCTGCCTGCAGGCTCTGCTGCCGCGACTCCGCGAAGGCCTGGAGGCGCCTGACAGAGCCACGCGATGGCCGTAGGCCTGCTGCCACCGTCTCCCACTCCCCACCTGGCGCCCTGGCTGCGCCGGCAACAGACCATGGCATGCAGTACCCCAGCGCTTGTCTACGTTGATACATACATTCACACATACACAAAGCACGTATGCCGCATGCCTGCTTTGCTTCTCCAATAAGATCCTTGTGCCATGCTCTATTCAACAGACCTGTGAACGTGATGTGTCTCACCTGAACCCACACTCTAGCATGACCCAAGTTCGAGTTGACGCGTGCATGTGTCGCACTGGCGTAATCTCTCTGGGTTGAGCAGCCAAGGCTGCGAAGATCACCCTGCGTCTCTCACCCTAGACCAACACGCGGCGCAAACGTGCACGGCATGGGCACATCAAAGTCGTTCTCAATCAGCGGCTGCATCATGTGGATCTTCTGCACGCCAGCGCGGCCGCTCTTGTCGAGGCTGGCCCGGCATGTGGACATATACCTGACAAAGCTCGTTTCATCTCAATGCACCTAGCAACACAACCAGACCTGTGGCTTTCCGACAAGCCCTCCGGGTCACCCTTGCGCGTCCGCGTCAAAAAAGCTGTGGATCTGGTAACGCCGCTGCAGGGCCTTTGCAATCGATGTCTTTGCAGCCAAGCAGGAAAGTCCTTTGTGTGAACTGCGTTGGAGTTTGCGGCTTCCCTGGTGACCGGCGAATCACAGTTGGCGAGTCATAATGTTACCAGGAAATGCTGCCTCAGAGATGAGGGTAACATTTAGACAAAGATGGGTGGGCCCACTCTGGAGTGGGCTACGATTCGCCTGTATGCCAGTATGCACTTTGATCACTGCGCCGGATATATTCCTCCACTTTCTGTTCCAGTTGGCATGCCGTGAGAGAAACTCATATGACTTTGCACTGCGGACACGGCATGATTTGCTCAAGCCCGAGTTGCTCTCGTGGTTATTTTGAGCCTGGCCGAGGCTGGCCGCGCGGCATTTACAACAACCTTGCAAGCTGTTTGTGCTTGATGTGTGCTTGTCTTCGTCTAGCACTTCGTCGAGTCTGTGCATGCCTAAGTTCTACTGCGTCTTGCAATGAATCCCGCCTATCTCCCCTGGTCACCTAGTGGCATGAGCGATTGCGCAGCGGCAGTCGCCAAGCAATCCCAAGGTGTGAGCGCTGCTTCGAAAGCTCTAGGAGCCTCCGTGATAGCTTTGCCAGTCGAAGGCTTTGACGTGGACTTGCTGCATTTTTGTTGACGGCAGGTCGGATGTTGAATTGTCTCTGGTCTGCTTCAGCTTCCTATGTTCAATGAAATTGTCTAAGTGTTGTCAACCTGTATTCCCGGGTAAAGGTCAACATCTGCTCATTTTGCACCCTGAGGGCTTTCTGGCTGTGCTCGCCATGAAGTGTTCGATGGAACAATAGGTCTGGTGTTTTCATTCATATGTCCATAAGGATTCTTGGTGACGTGGGTAGTTTTCGGCGCTTGATGCTTGACGCGGGACCATGCACACATGAATAGTATGTTGAAGGCGGTCGCCAGTCGCAAAAGAACAGTGGCACAGGTGGAATTGCACAACTCGGCTCCGGTTTTGGAGTGCAAGCCATCGATTATGTTCCTGAATGCGAGCAATGGCGGGGTTTCTGGCAAAACCCGTCGGCCACAACGGCGAACGCAACATCTGCAAATTCACAATGCGTGTAGAAGGCAAGGAGGCCTCAAGTTTGTTCTCTACTAATTTCAAAAGGCGGTGGTGTCACTTGTGCAACTTGGTAAGGGACTGTCACTGAATTGCCTTCTCAAGCGGCAATTATTCCAAACTGTAGAACAGCACGAGTAGAATGCAGCCTTTGCCGTGTGCACGGGATCAAGATGGAGTCTCATGAGCGTCTTGGCTCTATCGTCACCGTTTTTGCGACGAGGATATTTGCACCCAGTGCAGATAAGCCCCAAGGTCGTTTTGGCGCATGGCGTTGCTGGAGGATTTACTACCTTCCTGCAGTTGTGGTTGCAAGTGTTGCTATTTTCCAAAAGTCGACGTTGCTTGGCATTGGCCCAAGCCCAGGTTAGTTCGATCCTGGTGTGTATGGCCACGCCTGCGGGCCGGAAAGGTTGACTTCTCAGTGGCATCTGGCCTTGGACATGGTTGCAGAAGCTGCGATAGCTCGGTTGGGAGAGCGTCAGACTAAAGATACGAAAGTCCGGCTTGATGGATCTCGGCATCTTGCTGAAGCGGAGGGCAAAAGGTTACAAGGGGGGAAGAGGGGAGAACGAGCAATACTACCACGAGGAAGTTGCGCCCTCTGCAGTATTCCACGTGGCAGGGCCCTCGAAAGGAGGGGCCAAAGGAAACTGTTGGTGTCCCTCGTCGCCCGCAGGTTTTTCGCGGGCCACTCATCGGCTTCCGCATCGCTTTCCCGCCATTCCCGGAAGTTTCCGAACAGGCTCCTAAAGTCACGGGTTTCCAGCGTCGCTTCTCCCATGCGTTTCCGAGGGTTCCCGACCCGCTTCCCATGTTTCCCTCGAGTCAGTGCCATCGGCCTTCAGGTCCGTTGAGTCACGTGACACCAATGGAAAAGTGGATGCAAACCAAAGCGATCCACGGGGCTGTCCCGTGCCCATGGAAAGAATTACCATGATCACGAACAGGGTGGTTTGCCTACTGACTTGGACAATAGGAGACGATGGCAAGAGAATACGGTATCTCCTGCCTGCGTTGCGATGATGCTCGCCAGCGTCAAGCTGGTATGCACTGCAAGGTCTAACACCCACTCAGAGTCAGGGTTGTGACGGCAAAAAACCCACTGGTGACATCTGAGATTTGTAGAATTTGGGCACCACCTTGCGCTTGTTTCTAGAAAGAATGAGGAGAGCGTTCCTGGGCAGGCCCCTGGGCTTGCATCGGGAATTTGGGTCGGCCCCCCATGTCCTATTCAAACAAGTCACTGACCCACGAGCATGTGGTGAGTTACTCATGTGGCTGCCTCACAAACTGAACGGCGAAAAAGGTAGAGCGCCTGCCCATGTGCGAATTGCTCTGACACGTGCACATCTGAAGCGATCCAATGAGCGTCAAGGCCGAAGCCATGTGTCTGCTCCAACTTAGTCGCTGACTTCCACAGCCCCAGCACCCAAACGCCCGCGCGGGCCATCCGCGGCGTCAGAGCGTTGGCGCCGGCCGAGCCCGATGACCAGAACCTGCCCAGTCGCCAGCCAGTGACTTGCCTCCCTCAAACCTCCCCTGCCTCTGGTGCTCCAATAGGCTTCGGACCAGGCGGAGCCCAAAGCCCCTGGACGCAAAGCTGGCTTTCGGATTCTCATTTTTCATGGACCCACACCTTGCGGTCCCGAGCTGGAGCCGGTGGTCGGACGGGGTCGTCAGGGTCCTGTCTTGAAAGCTGCTTCTTGCCAGAAAACAAAAAGAGAAAAAAAGCAGCTGCTTCTTATCGACGTATCTGCGTTCCATCCTCGTATCTGCTGAGCTCCGGGACGATCCGCTTCTCCGGGCGCTCGGAGATGTCCGGCGACGTGTCAAGCTGGCACGTAGAGTTTTGAGCAAGAAACGGAAAGCCGAAAGCCCGCGCGCTTCAGCGCAGTTTGAAAAATTGCTATGCTAGCGACACAGCAACACGCTCAACCAAAGATCAGCAAGTCCAGCCTCTAGTCCTGTGGGGAACGACCGAACAGCTCGGCCTTCGCGTACGATGTCTCATGACTTAATCTGAAAGCCTCAAGCCAGCTCTGATGGAAACGGCCACGCCTCTTCTCCATCTTCGGCAAGCTTCAAGGGTCAGGGCCAATGCTGCTTTGGAACCTGGCAGTCTTCTTGTGCCATCGGCTGCAATGCAGGCCATCTGCCTGGTCGGTGTAAGCCGCTGGAACTGCTGCCGCCTCCGAGGCATCCGGTGTAAGCAAGAATACGCAATTGGCGATACAACAGACAGCCGGCTTGCCGTGTCAGCCTGACACCCATCCAGGCACGCTAAGCGTGGGTGGCGCTCGACGCGGTAGGAGCACCTCAGTCGAAGCCGAGCCTGGCTCGAAGAAGGATTTATTGTGAAGGTCTTGCAACTGCGAACCGCACTTGTGTGGGCGCACGTCCATGCGGCGTTAGAGACATCGGCCTTTCACGCAGGCAAGCACTGATGGCTTGCGCAGTTCAAGACCAGGAAGGTTGGCAGCAGACAACCTGTAACCATGTCCTGAATCAATCACATCTGCCTTGGAACGATTCTGAGCGTTTTTTTGTGGCAGACCTTTGGAAGGTATCGAAAATTGGGTGGCTCAATGGAGTTTCAGTAACGCATCGGGGCACGCATCGGGGCATCTGTTCCTCCTGCTAGGCGTGAAGGTGGCCAAGACAAAGCGACTAGACATACACAAACCACGGCCTGGCCGCGCAGGTCTGGCACAAATGCTCTGAGCCAAATCTCGACACGTCTCGACACGCGAAAAGTGGCTTGCGGCAATGCAATGGCACAGCAGAAAACACATTCCTGGATTGCAGCCTACAAGACTCGAGGCACTCCTGTGCAGTGATAAGGCCAACTGACCACCCCGAAGCAAAGACCTCCACCACTGACCTGGGTCACATGACAGAGCCACTCCGGAGCCTCGTCACAAAACTGTGAACCGCACCCCGGACGCCACTGATCTCTCGGCCTCGCCTAGAGATCAAAGCCGAAAAGGGTGCAGCGCGACAGCCGCGCAGTCGTCCGGGCCCCGGCCTTGAGCAACTGTGGATCTTCCAGCACCATGCTGCCTGAGTCTGAAGCGACGAACTCTGGCACCCCACAGCAAACTGAGGCATCGGCTGGCACGTCACCAAAATCCAACCCAAACCGCCCGTCACTGCAAAGCTAATTTCCTGGCTTACCCCTCGAAACGAGAAAGGCAGAAGAGTTCGAAGAGTCTGGGTTGCTTGTTTGGTCACCAAACAACCAGTGAACCTCCAGGAGTGTCTGAGTTGATCGTGTACATCTCTTCATTGCTCCACAACGTGAGCCAGGCAGAGACGAAATATGCTCAAGTCTCTCCATTCACAAGAGGCAAATTCTCAAATGAATCTGGACCTGCCACATTTGTCAGCTTGTTTTCGCAAACCGCTCTGCAGATCTGCTGCGAAACATGTTGTCCCGCTAACGTTGTCTTGCCAACCTGGTACGACCGTATACTGGCAAGCGGGAAGCGGGATTCACGGCGGTCCGCTTTGCGGAGAGCCTTGCAAAAAAGGTTCCAGCCGGACTCGAGAATTCCAAATGCAGGCCTCATACCGGCATCACACGGACCATTTCTCCGCGAAAACCTCTGGCTTCATGCGCCAGCGATGGGTGCCTGGGCCGAAGCAGTCATGCGAAGCCATGTGGCAGTATATTCTGATGTACCATTCAGTCACAGCCGCTGGCGGAGAGCACAACGTCATCCTCTTCCAAACTCATCCTCCTCCTCCGATTGAGTCGATTGACAGGCTTTCTTTCCTGGCCGAAGGCATGATCGCTTTGTCAGATCGGTGGACGGGCTGTGGCCCCCACAGGAGATGTATATGATTGGATCGGAGGGGTGGCCGAATGCAGCCCTTTACAGGGCAATTTATACTGTACGTTGGTAAAGCGCAATCTTTGTCAAAGCGGCACAAACAAAAAGGCTGGCGAAAAGACCAGGTGGGTAGAAACAAATTTGGGCTTACCATCCAGTGACCTAGTTTTGAGCACCACAAAAATGTGGACTTAGTTCGCCCTTTCTGGCGGTGACCGAATTCAGGCAAGCAGCTCGCTCGGCCTCGCTGCTCCTGAAGCTGAGATGCAGGCAAAGAGTGAGACATGGAGCACCCGCTTCTGCCTGTAAGAGGGTCACAAAAAGGTCCAAACAAGAGGGCAGGCGCAAAGCGTGCATAGCGTAACGGTGCAAACCGTGTAAACGTGAAAACGTTCCGAACTCTGTAACAGTGCAACAGTCTTGGAGCAAAAATGGTCGACCCTGTTTGCGCCCTATGCAAACACAAACGTCCCCTTTTTGAATAAACAGTCCTTAAATGGAGGAGCTGGTGATGCCACGAAGGTTGAACATAACATATGCCGAAATATGTTTCAAGGGGGGGTCGCCCCCAACTGGTGGCTTTCCTTTTGGCCTCCCCTTTTAAGACCACCAAGAAGGGAACCCTCCAAAAAAGAGACACGACAGCGCACGCCTGAGATCAGCCAAGGCACCAAACAACTGCGCCCATTGAGTCTGCCTCCTGCTCTTCCGCAGCCTCGAGCTCCCGCTGGATGTCCAAAACGTCGCCTCAAACACCAAATGGCCATGGGTCAAAAGCCAAATCGTACCCCCAGTGAACATCCCAATCCAACCACTAAAATAGACCAAAATGGGTGGTGCACCTACCCCAAAATGGTACCATTGGTTTTCACCCACAGCCAAATCAGGTCAACCCTGATCCAAACTTAGGCATTGGAGAGAAGAATTATCCATTGGCAGTCTTCTTTAGGATTCTTCGTTCACAGGCTATTCCTATCACTTGTCCATCATCCTTCCTCCTTTCCTCTCGCCCACCAGTTAGACCTGAGGTACGAAGGAACCGAACGGATGTTATCTCCAGATTCCTTGGGTTATTTGACAGTGATAGAAGGGAAAGATAAGAAACCCAACAAAGAAAGATATTATTGTAAGCAAAAAGACAGATAACAGCTAATAAAAGATTTATCATCAACCACTTTATCTTTCCAGGTCATATTATTTTACTATATTATTTCATTCACTAGTTAAAAATTGTAATCATAAAGGCTTAGGAATCTACTATTTATTATCTGGATTCATCTTTGGAATCTCCGGTACATTAATATCAGTCCTTATAAGAATAGAATTATATTCATCAGGAAATAGGATTATATCTCCAGAAAACCAGAACTTCTATAATATAAGCATTACATCGCATGGCTTTCTTATGATCTTCTTTTTAGTAATGCCTGGCTTGTTTGGAGGATTTGGAAATTATTTTGTACCTATCTTTCAAGGATCTCCAGAAGTGGTATATCCTAGAGTCAATAATTTTTCTATCATAATTCTTTTACTTTCATATCTTTTCCTAATCCTTTCTTTAATCTCAGAATTTGGAGGTGGTACAGGATGGACATTATATCCACCATTATCCACTTCTTTTATGACTTTATCACCTTCAAGTACAGGAAATCTTATATTAGGATTATTAATCTCTGGTATATCTTCATGTCTTACATCTCTTAACTTTTGGACAACAATTCTAAATCTGAGATCTTATTATCTTATATTAAAGACTATCCCATTATTTCCTTTCTCTTTCTTGATTACAGCTTTCATGCTTTTATTAACATTACCTATCTTATCTGGTACACTTCTTTTAATGTTGGGTGATCTTCATTCTAATACACTTTTCTTTGATCCAATATTTGGAGGAGATCCTATATTCTATCAACATTTATTTTGGTTTTTTGGACATCCAGAAGTTTACATCTTAATAATTCCTGCATTTGGGATCATTTCCATAATAATTTCTGGGATTTTACAGTTAATAATCTTTGCTAAGCAATCAATGATCTTTGCCATGTCATCTATTTCTCTTCTTGGAAGTCTTGTTTGGGGACATCATATGTATACTGTAGGTTTAGAAAGTGATACAACAGCTTATTTACAGGAGTTACAATCTTAATATCTTTACCAACTGGTACAAAAATCTTTAATTGGCTTTTACATATCTCTCCAATCCATCTTTATTACACCTTAGAATTACTTCTGTCTTCTTCTTTCTTCTCTTTTTATTAATGTTTACTATAGGTGGGTCAACAGGAATAATAGGAAATGCTGCAGTGGATCTAGGATTACATGATACATATTATGTTGTAGCACATTTTCATGTTGTTCTTTCTTTAGGAGCAATAATTGCTATCTTCTCTGGAATAATCTTCAATGGAGAAAAGATTGTTGGTACTAAGAATTTATTACTTTCATCCTCATGTACACTCTCTCTTTATCATTGTAATTTAATATTTATTGCTATTCTTCTTACCTTTTCCCCAATGCATTTCGTAGGATTTAATGTTATGCCAAGAAGAATCCCATCCTTTCCAGATTCTTTTCATTCCTGGAATTACCTGTCATCTATTGGATCAGGAATAACTTTCATATCTTTTTCTTGTCTTTATGTTTATTTGCTTATCTTATATTGTTTGTGTCTTTCCTTTTTCATCGTTTATTATTTTTTCTTTTATTTATTTCTTTTGCTTTTGTATTATTTATTGTAAACTTTAGAATCTTGGAAATTCATATATTTTATAATCTACAACTTCATTATTGGCATTTTATAGAAATATTATGGTTATTTATCTTTCTAGTCTTTTATTATTTATTTTGTCTTTCTTATCATATTATTTTCATATTTTCCTAATACCATTCTATCCTTATAAACATGAAATCTTATTAAAAATCCAAATATAAGAATTATAAAAAGACAAATAATACAAAATGTAATAAAAGAAGCATTCCATGAAAGAAGAAACCAAATAAGAAGACAAATATCCTTTCCTTCCCTGTTTCCAAGTTCATTCATTCCCTTCTATTCCTTCTCCTTGACTCGTCCTCAGGTCTAACTGGCGGGCGAGAGGAAAGGAGGAAGGATGATGGACAAGTGATAGGAATAGCCTGTGAACGAAGAATCCTAAAGAAGACTGCCAATGGATAATTATTATCTCCAATGCATTCCAGAGAAGCAAATGAATGCCATTGGAGGTAAAAGGAAAGGCAAAGGGGAAGGGTTAACAAATGATTGCCTACATCCTAATCCTTCCTACACTCACACACCCTTCCCTCTCTCTCGACGGTTTAGAGATGGCCAGGCGATCTATGCATGCCGATGCACTCGACATGCAAACCGACTACCACCTAATCTGTCGCAAAACAGGACGGACAGGGCCTTGCCTTGCCGCTCGTTTCGGTGCAGGTGGTCTGCCATCACCTTCACAAAGGCGATTCAGGCTTGTGAAACGGTGCAACTCGCGATGGCCTCCTCAGACACATCCGTCATGCCAATCTCGCTGGTCGCTGACAGCTCCATTACACGGTCATAAAATTGCTGCGCAGCAGCACCTAAAAAAGGCAAAGGCAAAATGCGTTGACACTGCTGTCACTTGTCAGCCATGCCAACTGACAATATGGCATTGTTGGAATCACTCAGGGCTACTCTCAGCAAGTAAAGCGCAAATTAGCTTGTTCTTTAGACATGGAAATGAGTGCTCGTCTTGTTCCTAATGCGGAAGCTCGTTACATTATGCTGGAGAAAAAACGGGGAATCTGCTCCTCCAGAACAAAACTTAAATGGTCCGTGAGTAAACAAGGACAATATTATTGAAAGGCGGGCTCTGTGCACGTCCATGAACACTTACCGCGACTGTGAAAAGGAAAAAGGCTTGAACAAATGATGTTAAACTATAGTTGCTTCGACAAAGTGTCTGAAGCAAACCAAACTTAGTTGTGTAGCTTTGCATTTATCCAGTGTCGTTTCCAGGTTCTAGGTTGCTGCTCCTGCGGAAGATCGAACTTGACATGCTGCTTTGGGGTCCTGCATCGCGCGAAAAGCACTGGCACGGAATTCCTTAAGTGCATCCGTGATCTCTGTTTATCTGAGCGACACCGCACATTGCGGGTATTTAGGTGCATGTGTGATCTCTGTGTATCGCGACATCGCACATCGCATACGACCGCGAGCTGGCTGTGGGTCAAAACCCTGTACCCCTAGTGACCATCAAAAATAGGTGGCAAATGGATGTTTATGCCCCATGGCCAGCTATTGCCCAGAAATTGCGCGCAATTGCCAAGCCACGGCCGAGGGTCACGGACGCCGGATAGCACATTGAGGCCTCCCGGAACTTCTGGGAATTGATCACCAGCGCATCAGACTCTGCCAGCGCCCTGACGTGGCACGGCTGGGGCAAAGGACCGAGCAGCGCAAAATGGGTATGGGTCAAGCTACCACCAGAGAACCGCAGGTTTTGGCCCATTCCACTTACAAGGGTTCCAGTTGGGGCCGATCCCTATTTTTGACCCACAGCCAAATGAAAATGAGAAGCTTCAAAGCGTGCCTCATGTCTCCGCGCGTGCGCCACATCATCCACAGGGCAGCTTCGCAGCTCCAGGTGGATGCATTTAGCTTGATGGTGAGTGGAACTACCTAGGCTCTCGTCCAGCGCCAGCCCACGTACAAATACAACCCCTCTCAAGAACATCTTCTGTGCCAAGATGCCTTTTTGTCGATGGTCGTCTTCATGCAATAGACCAAAGCGCCGGTCACCAAGAAGGTCATGTGCTTGGCCTGCTCGCCGGTGTGGAATACGCTATCCTTCTTCGCGTAGATGTTGCTGGAAAGCGCCGTGGCACAAATCTGCGAGATGGCAGGAGAAGCTGCCATGGAATACGATGCAAAAACCTTGGCATCACATGAATTTTGCCATGGGTCAAAATCCAAATCGTACCCCCAGTGAACATCGCAATCCCAACTGAAATAGGTTCTAAAAAGGGTGGTGCACCTACCCCAAAATGGCACCATGGGTTTTGACCCACAGCCATATCAGAAGCATCCGTCTAACCATAGGCAAGCGAGGCAAAACTCACCAATCGGCTAGCCTCTCTTTTGCCCCGCTGCCTCCGGCAACCAAATGACCTGTTGCTCCAGCCAGTTCAGAAAAGGAGCATTGTGTACGTTCAAGGTATTTGAAAAAATTTCCCTCTGCAGCTCCCACTGCAAAGGTCCGGAAAGTAGTTGAAGGAAATGGACCTTCGACTGGTGAGTCTTCTTGTGCCGCAACTCCATTACATAGTCCACATACCTGTTCAGGTTCAAGACTTGAGTCCGGCATTCAAGCAGCAGCCTCTTATGCAGCAGCCTCTTATGCAAGCCAGCGTGTGAACAGTGTGCTGGCCATGCACCCCAAAGTTTGGCTGAATGTTTGCGCCTCAAGATTCTACTCGATAGCTGGCGCGAGACTCCGTGCTCCGTCAGGAATTTCTTGAGCAGGAACATCTGAGTCGTGTTGTAGCGTGTTAGGCCCCATACCTGGGTATGCAGGCCATCTTGATGCAAATCAATCCAAAGCAGCTGCTTTCAAATTCCCCTTGTTGCCATCCGTCAGTCCAAGCTTCAGCATTCATGATGGTGGTGATACCTTGGCGAAATATGGGTGTGGGTCAAGAATAGGTACCCAAAATGGAACCCTGGTACATGGAACCAAAGACTAAAACCTGCGGTCCATTTCCTGGTGGTTTCATTTCCCATACCCATATGTTTGCGAATCTTATGCCGGATCCCACAAAGCTGCGCTTTAAGAGGCCTCAAAAGCCCAGCGGCTGCTCACAAAGCAAGAGCCCAACACCAGGCCGCACACCAGCACGAAGATGTAGTACAGCCGCTCCACCCTGCCAGTCGATTCATGGCACGTCCATGCTACTTCTGCTGCCTAAGCGCTGGGCCCGCATTCTGGATTGACCCTCAGATCAAAGCAGAATGCAAGTTCATAAAGATAACAGCAAAGATGATGTCACATTTGATATTATTGCAGACACGTATGGTAATTGCACCGGTGTGTTTTGTGCGCGTGTGTTTGTGTGTATGTGGGTGGGTCGGTGCGTGCGTTTGTGTGTATGTTTGCGTGTGCTTGTGTGTGTGTGTGTGCGTGTTTGTGTGAATGTGTGTGTGTGCGTGTGCGTGTGCGTGTGCGCGTGCGTGTGCGTGTGCGTGTGCGTGCGCGTGCGCGTGCGCACGACGCACGCGCGCGCGCGCGCGCGTGCGTGCGTGCGTGCGTGCGTGCGTGCGTGGGTGGGTGGGTGTGTGCGTGTGTATGTGTGTGTCACTGTGCTTCTCTGCGTGTGTCTGTGTATGGCTGTGCGTCTGTGTGCCTCTGTGTGTGTGTGTGTGTCTGTATCTGTGTGTGTGTGTGTCTGTGTGTGTCTGTGTGTGTCTGTGTGTCTGCGTGTGTCTGTGTGTGTGTCTGTCTCTCTGTGTGTGTGTGCCTGCGTGTGTGTGCGTGGGTCTGTGTGTATCTGTGTGTCTGTGTGTCTGTGTGTTTGTATGTGTGTCTGCGCGTCTGTCTGTGTGTGTGTGTGTGTCTGTGTTTGTCTCTGTGTGTGTGTGTCTGTGTCTTCGTCTGTGTGTCTCTGTGTGTGTGCGTGAATACGCGCTTGTGTTTGTGTGTGTGTGTGTGCGTTCTTGCATTGGTGTGTGTGTGTGTGGGTGGGGTGTGTGTGTGTGTGAGTGAGTGAGTGAGTGAGTGAGTGAGTGCGTGCGTGTGTGCGTGCGTGCGTGCGTGCGTGCGTTCGTGAGTGAGTGTTGTGTGTGCGTTTGTGTGTGTGTGCGTTTGTGTGTGCGTTTGTGTGTGTGTGTTGTGTGTTTGAGTGTGTGGTTGTGTGTGTGTGTGTGGTGTGGTGCGCATGTCTTTTGTGTGTATGTGCGTTTGTGTGTGTGTGTGCGCTAGTTGCGTGTGTTTGCGTATGTTTGTATACGTGTGTGTTTTGGTTTGTTTGTGTGTATGTATGTATGTATGTATGTATGTATGTATGTATGTATGTATGTATGTATGTATGTATGTATGTATGTATGTATGTATGTATGTATGTATGTATGTATGTATGTATGTGTTTGTGTGTGCTTGCGTGTTCGTGTTGTTTGTTGTGTCTTTGTTTGTGTGAGTGTGTGTGTGTGTTTGGTGTGTTGGTGTGTTTGTGTGTTTGTGCTTTTGTGTGCTTGGTGTATGTGGGTGTCTTTGTGTGTTTGTGCTTTTGTGTGCTTGGTGTGTGTGTGTGTGTTGGTGCGTTTGTGCGTGTGTGTGTGTGTGTCTGTTGTTTGTTTGCTTGCTTCCTTGTTTGCTTCTTTGTTTGCTTGTTTATTTGCTTGTTTATTTGCTTGTTTCTTTGCTTGCGCTTGCGTGTGTGTGTGTGTTAGTTGTGTTTCTGTGTGTTTGTGTGTTAATGTGTGTGTGTGTGTCTGTGTGTTTGCGCGTGTGGGTGTGTGTGTGTCTGTGTTTGTTTGCTTGTTTGTTTGGTTGTTTGGTTGGTTGTTTGTTTGTCTGTCTGTTGTCTGTCTGTCTGTCTGTTCGTCCGTCTGTCTGTCCGTCTGTCCGTCTGTCTGTCTGTTTGTTTGCTTGTTTTCGATTGACTTTATTTGTGTGGTTGTTTGTCCGTATGTGTGTGTGCGTGTGTGTGTGTGTCTGTGTGTCTGTGTGTCTGTGTTTGTGTGTTTGCACGTTTGCACTCTTGCGCGCTTGTGTGTTTGTGCGGTTGGCGTGCGCACGTTTGTGTGTTGGCCTTGCTTTGAAGTTCATGTGTTTGTGTTTGTGTGTTTGCTTGTGCTTGCGTGTTTGTATGTGTGTTCACGTATGCTTGCATGTGTTTGCATGAGTTTGTGTTGTGTGTTTGTACGCATGTGTGTATTTCTTGTTGCGTGTTTGTGTGCTTGCGCATTTGTGTGTTTGTGCTTTCACGCGTTTGTGTGTCTGTGTTTTGCGTGTGTTTGTGTGTATGTGTGCTTGTGTGTGTTTGTGTCAGTGTGTTTGTGTGTTTGCGTGCTGCTGCATGTTGGTGTGTGTGTGTGTTTGCGCGTTTGTGCGTTTTGCACGTTTGTGTGTTTGTGCGGCTGCGTGGGTGTATGTGTGTGTGTGTTTGCGCGTTCGCGCGTGTCCGCTTGTGTGTTTGTGCGTTCGAAACCCCAAGCACATAGATGTTGGGATCAACAAATCTGGCAATGTGTGATGAGTGATGAGGGTTTCAGCTTGGGACTCCGGACTGACCTATCAGATCTTCTGTTTCCAAGCTATGCCAATTCAGTGCCTGCATCTTACAAATGGAAAAACGTGTGTGCAGGTGGGTCCGGCAGCCGGGCTAGCAGTGTGCGTGTGTGCTTTTGCACGTCTGTACGATTGTTGCCTGCTTGCACTGGTATAGCGCGCGTTTGTGCATCTGTGCGAGCGCGCCTTTGCGCAAAGCCTGCGCCTATCTGCCAGAGCTATGAAACGCGCTGCTTGGCTTTTAGGAACCAAACAAGCAAACACAGGCAGGGCAAGCCATTCGGTGCGCCGGCTCTTGCTGGTGGTACAAGTGGCGGCTTTGTCTGAAGCTGCTTCTCTGCTTGGCGCTGCCTTTCCTGCTGGCGATTCGCATGTGCACGCGTGTGTGCGTGCGGCTCGGCCCGCCAGGCATTCAAAGCAACAAAGGTTGAGTGCGCAAGTGGATATGTACGCACACAGGCAAATATGGCAGCTGGAGGGTGCACAATGAGGTGATGGGAACCCTTGTGTTCTGTGCCCTCCCGGAAGC